AATAAGTTAAGACACCCGGTCATTAAAATTTGAGTTTTATTATCTCGTCTAAAGTACAAGCAGGCAAATTTATTGCCAAATGGGGAGGATTTAAGGATCCCTTCCTTACAGACATCAGATGGCGGTGACCTGAAGTAATGGGATTGCCTGTTCTAAAAGGACCGCCTCATCTCTTCTTATTTTTGACTATAAAATGCCATCATAAAATATGTCTTGTTTGGATGCAGAGTCAATCACGTCGTGTTTTATAGCCTTTAATCCCTCCAGGTTTTAAAAATTTCTCTGATACGCGCATGCATGACCTCTTGAGGCGGATCACTGCGGCAAGAGAGTTGAACTTGCGTTATTAGGTTTTACAGGCCAAAAGTGGTTTTTATTGGCCTATTTCAACAAAATTTTGCACTTTCGTTCTCCCACCAACGCTCACTTCAAAAAACAAACTTTTATTGTTCCAAAACGACACAAATTAAAGCCGTCGCGTGCCCTTCTCTTATCCTACGCAGTAAGGAGGGACAGCACACCGGCAGCCGGTATTGTTTCGGCGACGCTTCCACAGCAGGCACGGAATAGGTTGCAATCGAAGTCAGCTATCCATCCATCAATTATCACCCCGTACACATTTGTGCGTGGTTGTGCATGTGTGCACACACCAGGATCTGTTTATGCCTTACACACACCCTCAAGATCACGCAGGTTCGCGCCAGTGTGAAACACTTTAAATGACAGCAAAATCCGCCACAACTGCCACTGTCTGCTGTCTAGGTGTGAGAAAGGGCTGCAGACAGGGTACTGCATGACCCGGGCAAGTGGGCGGGAAAGGTTCGGGGCAGGAAATTCGTACCCTTCTATGGTTACGCATAGATGGCAGCATTGAATTCATAGTATAATTTGTAACTCCGAAGTGAGTTTTGTGTGTGCACACCACAGAGGCTCGCGAATCTTGCTTCCTTCCAGGTGTGTTTATGCCACACACACACACACACACGGAAGGTCACGTAGGCGCTCGCTAATGCAGAGCACTTCAGGGAGACACGAAATTCGCCAGACTTGCTGCTGTCCAGGCGTGAGCAACGACTCCAGACAGGGTACTGCATGACCTAGGCGAGTGATTCATTCTGCCTCCTGGGCAGAGGGGAGAAGCGGGGCAATTAAATTCTGCGCCTTAGGGATAAAATTCATCTTACTTTCGTCGGGAAATTTGCTCGCTCCCAGCTTGCCGCACTCTTCTATAGTTGCCACAATGATAGGAGCATTGGGTTCACGATAAATCTCGTCACTTCAGAGTGAGCCTTACGGATTGTTTTTACGCAGCCAAAACGATCTGTTTTAGCGTCTACCAAACTAACCAGACTAGTAGCTGCACTACCTGCATACTGTCATGCGCCGAAAATGCGAAAATTAAAAAGTTGCATAAGGTAAGTAGAGAGGGGAATTTGTTATTTAGGTACTTATTTCAGGTATATGAATGATAGCAATCTATCACTCAACTGATTTGCGCATTGTTTGGAAAAGGGTAGCACCACTGAAGAGGAGTACAATGCCGAAAACAATGCGTAGTGAGATTTTGTGCCAAAAAATCGCTAAGCAACGTCAATTTGTAAAAGAATTGTAAATAAATGAGTACTTTAGAGGAAAATGGTCACCTGATTGGATATACTACTGAAATCAGGTAGCATCTTCTCATTGTACTAGCACTCCTCTCAGTTAGTGAATTTTTCAGCAGGACTGTCCGTTTCCCTCACTCAAATCAAGCGCTTCAGGACATGTCAACCTGACAATTAAACCTGTATAGCGGAGTGTTGGTTTACCATCAACATCCTCCACTGCATACGCCGCATCAAAGATTGTCCTTGCATTTCGTTAGCCACTTTCATCACCAAAGTACTTCATGACCACTCCTTGACAGGAAAAAGTTCACTCTGGGGCGGGAGGGGGAAAAGGTATCTGATACCGTTGTAAGTGAAAAGGAAACTGACATGTTGTCAGGAATTCCACGAAGGGCCAAAATCAAAACAGCAAATCTGGATTTACAAGGCTGATGACGGTGATAAATTGTACATTTTCTCCCTTTTTAGCGCACTCACTATAAAATACAGTCGTTTTAACAGTTACATGCACAGTATTTGAAAGCTAACGTCATGGGACATGATTTATCCCGGTATAGAAGTACAAGGAGCATGGTATTGCATAGTTTTCTCACATGACATGGGAAGAGTGTACAAATGTGCCCCCCAATCACTGGATGTCTAACTCCACCCCTTTTGTCACCAACCAGACAAGCAAAATCATATGAAGGCTTGCTAAAGCCCTGAGTTCTTGCTGGGGGACTACTGACGCCCGAGGCAGCCAAGATGAGTGTAGGAAATAGTTAAACAAGAAAATGATGGCAAAGGAATGGAAAAGAGGTTAGCAAAAACCTACCGTAGCGACCAAAGAACAAATAATTGCGCATTTAGTTTGGTTGCCTTCGGCAAGAAATCATGACCTTGAGCCTCAGTTACTTCGTTGCACCGCAGAGGGCTGCACTTTTACATTTTCTATAGTAATTTTTAAACTTTTATCCTTTACAAGCACTTAGGTGTGAAAGTACAGGGCTGAACATTTAGTTGGAGAAATTGTTTGCGTGGGGGCATCCACCTTTTTACTTCATAGCTATAATCTTCTGTGGGCTCAGTCAGCTTAGAGGGCCGAGGATGGAAGTCACCCCGTCCACCCCCCTCCCTACCCAAGCGGCACTTTTAGCCAGATCTTAGGCTTTATTATTTAGGATTTGCCACGAATTCCTGATTTTTTTCTGAACCAACTAGTTCATTTAACTCAGCTCTACTCCACTATGATAATTCAAAAGGGTTATTTGGAATGGCATTTTAGATCTACAAGTGAAGTGGGACCTTTTCTGCAGTGAAATGACCTGATTGAATATGAACTCCTAATTAAGTAGGCAGAGCGGAATTAAATACGAAAATTGGATTTTCTACAAATAATTTGTGATTACTATTCCTACAGGAAAAGAACCATTCATCCATCTAATGATAGGTCCCACCCATTTTGATTTCTTCCTCCTTTAATGAGAAAATCTGCACCAACAGAGGGTAAATGAATTTAATCAACCCACTCAAGTTTTTTAATCACCTCAAGTGAGTCACGAAAAGGTGTGGTTTAAGGCATTAAAGGGGTCACTGATGGGATCGAAAAGGAGCTGCAGTCTCAACCCACCAATCAGGGTTAGATCCCCATCACCCATCCTCAGCTAGTCAGGATATGAAGTGGACCTGTTGATCATGATTCGAAACAGTAGTGGGAGTAGATGATGACACTTTTGTTTATATATAGAGGGCAAGAAAAACACACCTTAGGGTAGTAAATTTATCCCACCCAATGCATCATATCATCTTAATAATATGAACGCAAACACCTGAAATCAACACTTTAAATGCAGAGAAAGGCAGTCCAGAGGGGTTGGTAGACCGTTTTGAAAAAAACAAAAAGTTTTAAACGTTGAAATTAATGGCATCACCGTTGGGAAAAGCACGTGTTGCCATTACCCTTCCCCATGAAAATGAGGCAATGAGCACGTGACCCTGCCTCCTTCCTCACTGGTTCCTACAAAGGTCTTGGAGAATGCTTGGGGAGTTTATCAGATGCGCATTAGACATCGAAACCGGAAGTGAAACACTGTCAGAGTTGGTCTAACTATCTTCGGAGAAGCAAAAATAAACAGTGACTGCTTTAGGTTCGGAAATGCAGTGGAAACACATCTTGGCCCATACACTAGTAGTTTAGCTGCTGCCTTTTATTCATCCTTAATTGCACTTAAGAAACTCTGACACTCAGAATTCTCCCAAAGAGACTCTATTTGGCTTCTTAATAACCGCTAGAAAGGAATCTACCTTGCGTTCTATCCCATTATCCATGGTTGGGGATGAGCTGTTTGGTCTCGGTTGGCAACAGGTCCAACACTTCCGCTAGGAGGACAAGTCAGCGTGGAAAGAAAGAAAAAGTCACCGAAGAACTGTAACTAAGTCTACTACCTCTAAGTTAAGTTGTGAAAAGAAACTCTGTGTGCAATACCAAACAAGAATTAATTCCACGGATAGCCTTAATGCGATGACTCCCAGGAGTAGTAATTTCCATAATTAAAATGGAAGCGAATTTTGTTTCTGGCACTCATTCGGTGACAGCGATTGCTCCTCTTTCATCCCACAAACAAGAAAAGTTACTTTATCCATGTCTTACTGCCTTTAGTGATTAAGACTTTCCTATTTTCTATTTCTGCGAACAGATTGGGATGACATGTTTGCTACACAGTCAAGGACTTGTCAAAGTAATCAAATCAAGAGAATTAGGTAATGATACTAAACTACTTTAAAAGAACGGTTAAAATAACCCAAAAGGGCCGTTAAATGCCGGGCAACCATCCAATGTGAATCAGATTCTCTGTGCTCCAAATGCTTCCGAGATTGCCACCTATAAAAGTGGAGCCAGCACCTTGGTTTAAAGGCCAGAACTGAAGCTTTAGGTTTATTTGAGGCATGAAGTTCAGAGTGAGTGAGGTAAGGTAGGAAAGCCGCCTACCGTATCAGTTGCACACATGAAATTGGTTTTCCGCACGTTCAGAACAATTGGAACCAGGCGAATTTGTATTCTACAGTCACTTCAAGCCAATTACTAGATTTTCAGCATCTACTTAACGTAGCGAGCCGTGCATCTCTGAGTTCAGAGAAAATGGGTCAGCTACACAAAACTGTATGAAATCTAGTCGGATAATAACTCAATGTTCTGACCTGGCCGGCTTTTCGAAACTATGTCATTTATGCTTGAAATGTGAAACTTTGCTTATTCATCACTCTGGTCGCAAAGTAGGTGTGTGCAAATACAGGCTTCGGCGTATTTGGGTAATCGGGACATTTTTTGCAAGGCTCACTACCACACTTGGAATCTTTTGTAAGACCAAGTTTTAGCTAGCACTCGACGAATAAAAATTTCAGTAGGTGTTCTAGGAAAAGTTTTTTTAAATATTTTCAAACGTCTCCTAAAGCAAAAATTGCAAATCTAGCGTAACTCCACTAAGTCGGCCAAAGTCACATCACTGTGAACCTAGATAGGCGAGTCTTTTCTTTTCAGACCGTTACACCTTGTCAGCTGTAGGCAAGACAGCAGATCTTCCAGGAACTTTGGGATATCACAGTAACGTGACATCCCCATTAAAAACATTAAGTATTTAATTACATTAAACTTCCTATAAAATATTGTCACATTTGTTCATATAAGACTGGCAAAATTTTTTGCATGCATAAAATTGTTGTAACTCTAAATGAAGCATAACCCGTTAGAATATAGATAATTAAATCCAACAAATTTTACCATGAAAACATGCTTGATAAAAAGGGTTGCCCATGTTTATTTACGACAGACAGCATGCGAGTGACTACGTCGGAAGAATGGGGTTATTAGGGTAACCAACCTCACTCAAATAAAATGATCTCCATATACCAGTTTTGAAAATAAAATGTCAAACAAAGCAGTTTTAATAACAACCCTGAATGACATCAATGGACTCATAGAGCCATTTAGGCCAAACATTAGTTTATTATTGGTGTCAGTCGAAAATACCGGGATTTCACAAAAAATTTGCATTATACGGCACTGATTGCAGAACAAAAAACTCAGAAATGTTCATATGGAATGTGAAAAACTCTTTGCGTTTAGATATGCATAAATTATGAATGATAAAACAAGGGCATTCAAAGTACAGCAAGGTACTGCTTACTTGTTTGACATCTTCGGACGAAGGGGCGTTCAAGAGTCGTTCCTGAATGCACACAAATTTGGGTGGAACTCAAAAGTTACCTCTATGTAGGCTTTCCGTCCACTTTCGTTTAGGCGAATAAGTTGATCCACATCCATTTCGCAGTCCCATTCGTCATCCTACATTTATTCAAATAAAAGGAATTGTGACGTACATCCCTTAGGTACACTTTTCTTAACTCTGCATATATAAAGTCCTCCAAATTCAGTTTCTCTCTCATCAACCTCCGAGTCTTTTTATCATAACGGGCTGTCAAGTGCCTTTTGTGTGTCGGGGTTTCGTCTTCAACGATATCAGGAAAGTTAACCTTTGGTGTAATTTCGTGCTTTCCAGACATGGGAATAGTTAACAAAATTGTTAAACTCTCGCGAAAATGTGCAGCGGTGATTGGGTGTTTTGTGTTCCTAGAGGTCAAATAACTTAAAAAATGGACTACTTAAACTCAGTAAAGGTTAAGCACTGTATCTCAAAAATCAGAAAAAATTACTTTGTGAACATAACGTTTTGCCATAATTATTGGCTTAAAACCTTGAGATATAGTGCGAAACAGTGCAGGCCTAACAATTTGTCTGAGTTTATTGTTGGATATTTAAAGGAAGGAACATCATATTATTCTCATATTTTGATGTCTCGTTACTTGAAGTGTATCCTAAAAATACACAAAATAATGAATGAAATAAGTAGAGTTCCATTCGAACAACACTTACTGGATTGCTTTTTCTAGCTTCTACTAAATTGATGGGCATGTCTTACCTTAGAAATTAGTGTATTTGCGCTGATTGGTCCGAAGTTTAAAAAGTTAATTTGCAAAATGCAGAATTAGTTGACTAACAGATTATACTTTCGTGTTTGTTAGTGGTGAACACGCCTGGTGTAGAGTCCCGTGGCTTCCCTGAAGATGGATTATGCCATAATACTCTGACGAAATATATAAATTTACGTTAAACCAGGACCAGGAGCCACTGACAAGGCGTAGAGCCCGCCCCATTTGGTGAAGATACAATGGCTAATACACAATTTGGCCCTTTGCCAAGGCCAGGGGTTAACCAAACAAACAACTTATTATAATGGGAGTTTCATCATTGATCCCTGCCCCAGCGATTTCCGACGATCATCCAGCCCCAGGATTTGTGTCCTTGAACGCTACTAGACTTGAAAGTGCATTTAAACAAAACAAGCATTGCAGCATGTTAGTTGTTTATATCTAATGTTACGTGAACAGAATCCCACGGTCTAAGAAAAACCTAGCCTAACCAACAAAACTTCAGTGTTTATTCTTTCTTTGGCATAACGACAAAGGCATATCGGGACCCTAAACACCTGTCAACAGCCATGCGCCACGAACACTCTTGTTTTACGAAAACCTGTTATTCATGCACACTTTGAATTGATAAATTCAAAAGCTACCAATATTTATTCTGAAAACTCGAAAAGAGTTACTCAATAAGGTAGAAAGCAACATAAGTAGCGTGGTTTATTATCTCACATCCTCGTAGCATATTTTAATTATCCAACTGCCTATAAAACCGTCAAGATTATACAAAACCTTGTTTGATTATATTCGCGTCGGTAGGTGGGTTCATGCAACATTACCATATTAGATTGAGCCTCTGGCTGGGCTTGTTAAGGATTGCTCAAATGTTGAATCGAGGAAAATTTTATGTTATTTATTCCAAACCCGTTCATAACTGTTATATTTTTTGGATAAATGTGACACCCAGTTTGTCGTCTTTTCAGCATTTACCTTCCTAATTACCGTTTTGTTTTATTCCAATCTGATACCAATATGTCTCCTTCAGCCTGTTAATGAAACGACCGCGTAGACCACCAAACCGCCATTGTTTGTACAGCAGGACCGACTGTGGCCTGACTGCTCCCTCCTAACCCAGTGTTGCGATACCTCTGCGGTCACTAAAGTTCATGCTCGACTGACCCGCAGCTGTGGTTAATCAGGCCACGCCGCATGTGATTTTGTCCCAAATATGGCTCTCGTGGATGCGTAGGTCGTGTTTTTTTGAGAGTCGCAGAAAGAAACAAAGCAAACAGCCGGGAAACTCATGGACTTATTAAATTGCCAGATCTGGTTTATAGATAGTTTACGGTGTTTCACAATTCCAAGAAAACTTTGCAGCGGAGAAATTTTTACTAGTTTTTACATTTCCAACTAAAAATGGATAATGAGAGCCGCTTATATCTCAGGTAATGCATGATTTAAATGCGGAATCTTATAGGGATCAAAGTGAGGATGCTCTCTAAAAATATTTTAAATTAACTTCTGTGTTCCTGTGGTTTCCTCTGCAGTTTACTCGGTGAAGTAGTGTTTAGCGGCATCCACTTCTCCCTCAAACTTCTTTAAAGCAAAAGATTTCGCATACTGCAAACGCTGCCCTTATTTTTCAACCATACATTCGCGAAATCAAATTTTTGATTAGTGTGTGTTTAATTTGTCCAAAAACTCAACGTTTTTGGCTCCGCTGATTGTTTTCTCACATCCTTTCCCTCTACCAGATGCTATTTAGTTGTGAAAAGACTCATTTCTAGAGCTAAAATTATAAGGTAGTGCTGTCTTTGAATCAACTGTCTTGTGTTTACATGGCCCCACAAGTTGTGCCCAAGTTTCAAATGAGTTCTACGTCTTCTTTTATGTTAAGACGGTCTTTTCAGAATTATTCTCTTCAAAATCTATCTATTTAATGTTAGATTCCTATTGTCTATCCATCAAATTTGATTCTGAACAATCAAAGGAATGGTATTTTCAAGTTCTCATTCTGATGTGTTGTTTCCGAAGTTAGCTCTGTAATGTAATTTCACTCTAAGGCACGTGACCGGTACTTATTTAAAAGATTTTTCATTAAATATTGGTGGGCAAATTTTGGTCCCTGCATTAGAGCGTAGGGCTACACCTAATCTGCTTTTAGCTCTCCGTGTCATTAGTAAGCAGAAAGTTAAGAAAGAATTGCATCGTAATGTCGCTTCGATTGGCCTTTCACCACAGCACTAGCAAGACCACTTTACTGAGCCACTCGCACTGCATTAAAATGATAATCAACGAGGTAGAGAAACACACGCATAAATAAGTTATCGTATGGGCAGCGAAGAAGGGAAGTAGGCAGTGCGATTTCATCGGACGTGTTGTAGCTTTTTCCACAAATAGCCCACGGAAATGAAATTGATGGTGAGCAAGCGTCCAAAATTTTGCAGATGCTCCATTCACCGCCCACGACCACGGTAAATGCGACTCTACACTTGCATTGGTGATCTCGAAATAAATTATTTATCCACGTCGATCAGCATTTACGATGTCTGACTATGCGAATCATGCCAAAACATGTGCACAGATTAACCTGTCATGGCTTTTCAGGCAATGGCGTATCTCCAGTGCAGATTATGTACAGCACAGCGAAGTGAAAAAAAACTGCACTAAAATGCAAAGGTTTGCCATTTACATCAAAGGAATTAGGCACTTGGATAGATGATATCATTTGCTTCCCTCTTGTAACAGGATTTCAGTCGTCTAATGGTAAGCCCCATCCCCAAAAGTTCATACTTCTCTGCTAAAAATTAGAGATATTTCTTCTAATTTCTGCGAATGAAAATATGAGGATAAATTTGCGACAATTTATAAATGATCTATCTGATCGGGTTAACTAAATACTGCATGAGTCACAGCTCTGATGGATAACAATGCACCTCACTCAATTCATCATCATTCAACTCATCACTAATCCCCATCACCAATAGTGCAGGTGCTGATGATACCCATGTTTAACTACGGAATCCAGCTCGTATGTCTATAGCCGTTTATTAGGTAGCAAGCCATCTGGAATTCAAGTTAAGCTGTTAAACAGAATTGAATTTTTATGTTGCTCCAAACGTCCGCTTTGTTGGCCCACTCCCGTGCCCATGATGGCTGGACTGCAAGGCGAGGGGAAGGGGTGCCAGACAGAGGTCACGTATCCTGATTCGAGTGCCAGATCCATCAATTTGCGCAAAAAACTTGACACAGTGCACCGTTTTGATGATCCTTCAGGCCTGAGGATGTGGGAAAAGCGGATAGGAAATAGTTATTAAATATGAAAGGTGGATTAAGAATCGGGGATTGGAACTTTAATGCTCCTCCTTTTTTCCAGTGGAAAATATTTTACTTTAAATGGCAGCTTATCCAAAGTTCATCGTCCCTCCTGCCAAACTGGAGATTCGTCCCGCAAGCAAATTCGTCAGGTTGTGTTCCGACCAGGTGTACAGAGGCGTGATCAGAATCAGGATCTGGATCATTAGAATGCTCTACCAACTGCAAGCTGTTGATGCCATCCTAACTTTTAGCGACTGGTGAGTGGTTAATCGACACCTGAGTGTCCTAACATCCTTCGAACACATGGAGCTTAGGGTTGGGTTTGCTAATGGGTGACCAAGAGTTGGGGTTTCACGCCCACGTTGGCAGGTAACTTTGATTATGACCACACGCCTTTGAGGGCAAGACCATTGCCGCCCGACATCTTCGTTGAGTTTAGGGGATTCTGTGTTCGGATTCGCCCATGTACGATGACGTGAGCTCCGACTATTAATAACGGACACTGGGCTCAATTTCCACCTACCACCAGACATATTACAGTCACTGAAGCATTTCCGATTTTTTTTTTGGCTAAACATGCTTTCATTCACTTCTACAGAGTGTGACTGATTCTGCAATAAACCTGCGTCTCTCCCATCAGCCGTCTCCTCCTTAGTCTCCGTCCTTTGAATTATTAAGGAATTGGCTAGTGGCGCATTCACCTTTCCATCCACTCTATTGCATGTCATCCCAATCTGGTCGTGAGGCCGTACTAACTCCTCTGAGGACCTCAAAATGTACTGTCAACTGGTTAATAGTGAATGCTTCGATTAGAGAACGGCTTCAAACGAGTCATTTGTGTGTGTGTATGTGTATGCATATAGACACGCCCTTGACAAGGCAGTTTTTTTGAGTAGTCGCAGAGAATATTCTTGCTGCTGCTAGTCGGAGGCTTGCATGTCTGCACCATGGTCTGCAAAACGCACTAAGAGTTCAATACAGGCACGGCTCGCTAAGGTAGGAAGTTAAAGTAATATCCACTCACGGCCACAAATGAGCAAAAAGATGTGCTGATTGGTCTTGTTCTATCGGATCTTGTGTCACAGAATAACTGACATATGGGTCAAAGGCGTCTCGAAAGAATTTCAGGCTCTGTGGATCTACAACTGCGGATAACTTCAAAGCCAGGGCTGCACAAGTGGCATCGTCAACGATAAACCCGAGCTGAATGAATGAATGGGCCAGACCTTCACCTCATCCACTCCTATTAGTCTGTCTTTTTTTTCACCCCAACACTCTCACTACCCGTGAATTCTGCTACCAACTACAAGGGTTTACTAAGTCTGGTGAAGAACACATCACCAGTCTGGAGACTGCAGGGCTAACTCAGGTCCCACACGTGGTGTAGGAAACCAAAATCCCATTTAGCAGGTGTCTCACGGGCAGAAATACGATCACTCCATTCCAGATGTGGTGGATACTTACTTGGCAGTAGGGCGATGACCTTCGAATGACGCAGATGCCGTCGTTTTTTTCTGTGGGTGCGTGCATCCTCCCTTGGTGACCTCTGGTAGGGCTCAGTGAAGGAGACCACGTAGGCGAGCGTGTTTGCCTGTTTATGGGTGACTGTACTCGCGGTTGTTAAATCACACCGGCAAAGCACACCAAACTGTATTACAGGTAGCTTTGATTGGCTGGGGAAAGAAATATCCCAGGTTAGAGTAAAGGTTCTTGAGCCAGTTTTTTGTGATGTAGGAATTAACCAATTACACACTGATTCTATTAATAGAACTTCCACAGACTGGATAATTCAGAGCCGAATTTAAGCAGAGAGGGTTAAAAAGGGCTAGGTTGATGTAAAGATGCGGTTATGGAGAAAGCCTCCTCCTCTAACCATTCATCCGCAAAATCATGGATGAGTGATTTCACCAATAATGAGGAAACCATCTACTTTCTACCTCTTAATTATATGCAACTTCCCAGTTGTCTAATCTCACTGTCTTTTTTACGTTTTATTGGGGCACATCTTAGCCATTCTCCAACAAAAGGAGTGCACCTTGACCCTATCCACTTCATTCCTCCAAGCATCATGAGGCGTGTAAAATCCCGCGTGGTGCTTTCAGTCTCTCTAGTGTCTA